CAATTTCTTTGTTACACAGGACAAAACAAGATAGAGTAAACTTGAGGCGGTCAGCACTGGGCCATGTCATCAAAAAGTTAAGTGTGAAATTCCAGAACCCTGAAGTGAGGAAAGAGTGGACATTTTAGCCTACAAGTCTGCTGTTTTAGCTTCTGGTTTTATAAATGTATCATTACTTACCTTCAATACAATAAATATGACTTGATGGTAATTGCAGAGAATTGACTTTAGGTGATCTATAATAACGGGAGATTTAAAACATTACTGAACCTCGTTTCTCATTGGAAAACCGTGCAGCAGGAAACGCGCAAACTGTAACATACAAGTGGATTCCGTGCATTTGTAACTATAGCAATAGCTGCAAATGCACGTAATCCGCCCAGAAAAATCGCACCAGGACTTTTTTGCAGGACGCCCGTTTTTGTACTAGGCGGATGCCGCCCTAGTGTGAACAATGCACATTGGAATGCATTGCTTTTCATGGTTAGCACGTTTGAGTGTAAAAACCGCTCATGTCTTAATGGAGCCTAATGCTGCTCTGTTTACTGCACCTATTTGAAGGATTCTGTTTGCTGGCTACCGTGTTTCCCCGAAAATAAGACAGTCTTATATTTTTTTTTCCACGAAAAAAGACACTAGGTCTTATTTTCGGGGGATGTCTCATGTGTACCTGGCTGCAGTGTAATCTCCTACCTTTTATTTTTGCCAAGATTCTCAGATCTTACTCGTGTAACATGCTGTCTGGACTTCAGAAGGGCTACCATCTGCCCAACTGGGAAAAAAAAGATAATTTCGAGTGACATTTATCCTGAAATAAGTGTAACAATCAAGAAAAAACAATAGATATTTGCATGCAGATGGCGGGAGCAGCGGGATTGGTTCTAATTTTCTTTTTTTTATTTCCTTTATCAATATATATAGATATCCCTTAAAGCGATATTAAAGTCAAAATGTTTTCAAGCTATTTCAAATGCTGCTTAAATGTCTCACCATGGATGTTGTTTCTTGAGGTTTAAAAGTTGTAGTTTTCTGCAGAATCAGTTGGTCCCCTGAGCACTGACCTTGATACTCTGTTTTAGGGTTTCTCCTTTCCCTATCAGGATCCTATGGCGCCAACCTTGTGTGTGCCAGTAAGCTGTGAGTGCCTCCACAAACACACAGACACAACAAGACAAGACACTCCCCCTCACCCCGCTGCTCCCTACTCTTTCCTCCGTCCTTCCTTCTTCCTCTCCATGCTAGTAGATGAACAGTTGCTGGAGACCGATCTGTCCTTTGTGATCTTGTACTGGACCGGAAGTTCAGGGTAGCCGAGCTGAGAGAGATGAAGCTGTTCAGAAATACGATAACTGTAAGCTGGGCAATGTAAATTTGTTTGAACTGGATTCATTATTGAATAGAAAAAAAATAAAAAGATTGAGAGTTTAATACTACTTTAAAAAGGAGAACTATGAGGTGAGTGCTTTTCACTCACCTCATAGTTCTAGCCGACCTGTGACAATGAGACTGTCACAGGTCGGCTCAGTAGATCGGAAGGTGAGCGAACACATACCGCCATTCGCTCACCTCTCGATCCTGTCACAGCTCTCTGCCGTGACAGGGGAGGGGCTGGATTCCCTCCTCCCCGCTCCGAACTGCCAGCTCTGACTGGCGGATCGGACGGGGGCGGGTACAGCTGGCTCTGCCTCTAGATAGGCAGAGCCAGCTGTCACTCATGCAGCCGGGCAGATCCCGGCATAATTGTCGGGATCAGCTTCAGCTGTGGCGTCTCAGTATACCTGAGCTTAGGGTGACGGGAGGACGCTAGTTTGTGTCCTCCCGTTACCCTAAGGAGAACTATGGGGAAAAGCCTTAACCCCATAGTTCTCCTTTAAATGTTTAAAGTGTTTATTGTATGTGTGACAACCACGTTCTTCCTTTCCTTTTCTACCTGTAACACACAGCTTGAATCTGGTCTCTATGGGTTACAGCTCCACATTCTTTGAGGAAAATCTGTTTCTATCCATGGATCTATTAAAGCGGTTAAGGAAACTGCAGGATGGGTGGCCTAGTTGTTTTATCTGCACCTGGTTCTGTGTTAAGAGAAGATCTCTAAATGTCTTACCACTTTACAAAAATAAACCATGCACTAGGATTAACTTCTGTATTAACGTTTCTGCTCTAAAAATCTGTGTTCAGATCTTCTGTCACATATTTGGAATTTCTTCCATGTATGGCTGGCCTCCCCAAAGTAAACAATGGCAACATACAGTAGCCATTGTAAAGGACACTTTGCAGCCCCATATCCCAGGACTACACTCTATTGTTATCCACTTCACCAGAAAAACATTTTCCAAACAAATCAATTCTTATTGTGCTAAAATTTAGTCTCTGATTCTATCTGCAAAGCAATGGGTATATTTAATTTATATTACACGATTCCAACTTTAAAAAAAAAAAACTGTCAATTTCTAAAAATGTATATGTTAAAATTAGCATGTAAAAGCTTGTTCCAAAGATTGTGTATTCATTCGCAATCCACAAAGAATTGTGGATTGTGCAAAATTACTTTTTGCATTTGTTTATTACATTTGTTTTGTTCTAAATAAACCCAAATTACTTCAGAAATTACTTTTTGCTGTCCCCTAGAAATGGAAATGTTGGGTATTTTATTTTTCCTTAAATACGTCAGCTTGTTAATATAGTAATCCTGAGCCATACTTTCTGATCTCAACTGACCAAGCAAAGCCGCCATATGATCACTGTATCAGGAAACAGATCTGCACAGCATACACATGAGGATTATGGGCACATTTGGCCAGATATCCAGCCAGTGATTCTGCAGATTGGGGATTCTTATTTGTTATCTACAGTCTAATTATTCATATCCATGATGCAATTCTGTTATTATTCAGAAAAATATTCATACACTGCTTTACATCCATAGCACTCTACAAAGGGCAATTCCCCTTTCCCAGGTAAATTTGGGAAAAAGAATTTACCCCCTCCATTCTGGCCCCCCTTTCCCTTCCCGCTATACTTAACTTTCAGCGAACTACTATTTGTACCCTGTATTGCCATCTAGCACAGCCCTGTGCTCTGGATTTTGCTTGCAAATGGCGAGCGCTCATTGGTCAATGTTATCACCTGACCAATGAAAATCACTTCTGGGTGCGCTCCTTCATCAGAGTGCTCTTCAAATCAAACTGGTTGAGAAAGGCTGTACTAGAGGACCTCAAAATTGTCTGTAACCAACAGAGAGATTTAAAGAACAGGCTTCTGGGATGGTCATATAGCACTGAGGGAGTCTGTGGGAGTGAGAGATTAGGTAGGCAAAAGTCCTTTTTGGAGCATTTAACCCTTACAGTGCGAAGGGAACCCCACTGCAAGGATGCATTTGCCTTCTCCCCGGAGTTCAGCTTTAAACAAACACCTGAGGCATAAACTCTGTTTTGTCACTGTCGCTGATTAATTGCTGAACACTTGACAATACCAACTGATATTTACTGAGCAGTGGCATTCCAGCAGACACCTGCTGATGTCAAAATATGCTGGCCACTACACCACATGAAGCAAACTTTTTTTCAAAGCACAAGTGTGCCATATGGACACTCTTCCAATGCTACAATTTTACAGATTCCCAAAGAGATAACACACACTTTTTAAGAAGAATGATTATTAAAGCAGACCTACTGCCAGAATATAGGTCAGCAGTAGCGAAAATCAGGCAGCAAGAACTGCAGAAATGTTTTTTCAGGCAAACATTCAAACACCTACAAGAATATAAATGCCTATTTATTTCTTTATAAACAAACCAGACACTTAAGTTACACAAGAACAAACATAGTTACATCAAACCCACCACCAAAAGATGTGTAAACATTGCTGAGCAGGGTCAACATGTATAACAGTGTCCAAAAATAGCACCACAGAACCACCGGAGCTTTGCGTCACATGAAAGCTCTTATTTTATTAGTGTCATCTAAAAGCTCCTTAGAAGAAAAATATCAACATGTATTGAATTGCATGGGGTCTCATGACACAGACTCGTGTAAATTACCGGCTTCCTAATCCACCACCACAAGGTTTTAGAAACGTCTCCGTTTATATAAATCATGTGCCTACTTGTAAATCCACGTAACAGATTACTACTTATCTTGGTAGATATGTTTTATAGCAGACATGTCAAACGGGTGTTTTATGGGCTACATGCAGCCCTCTTAGTCTTTCTCTGTGGCCCTTAGTGGTTTAAGGATAAAAACAAATGAATGTGCCCCCTGTTGTTCTCCATTCGATATGATACACTTCATTGCATTATTGTGCAGCCAAATACTTCAGGAAATGTTTTCTGGCCCCTTTCTCTGGGATTAAATATTTCAAAGTGCCATCACCTTTCTCTAGAATGAAGTGCAGTCCTCAGTACACATAATGTGGACCCATGAAGGTCTAGTTCTTTCTGTTCGGCTCTCTGTTTTATCCGAGATTCATATGTCTGCTTTATAGAATCCAGCAAAGTAACATAATCCTGATACAAAGTGTTTGTAACATTTTCCAAGTTGAAGAATCCCAAAACTCTGCAGAGCCGTACGTACGCTGTGTGACAATCTTGTATCAAAATCCAGCTGCAGAAGAACAGCAAATGAAACCTTTCCTTTAACAGTATGGAGTTCATATATAGTATGTGAATATCCACCACCCTAATCCATCCAATGGCCAATCCATAATGCAGAAGACCTCCAGGTTTTAGAAAAATTAACCCTTGCAGTGGGGCTACATGCTAATTTAGGTGCTCAAATAAAGAATACTTACTTTCTCCTTCCTGGGTGCTGAACCCGTCCCTGCAGCCTCTTCTCCCTCAGGGCTCCAGTGGTCTAAGGTCCATTGACATCATGTCTTATACAGTCCATTCACCTGCACCAGACATGAGGAGCGGAGGGGGGAGAGAGTTTAACAGTCACTGCTACAGGACTGAGGATCAGGTGAGTATTTCTTCTTTCTTTGAGCCACTAGAGAAAAACAAGCAGTTTTTTTTAAAAAAAAGAACCCTTGCAGGGTCTATCCTCTTAGCAAGGGTTAATTTTCCTAAAACCTGGAGTTTTTCTTTAAGTGAGAATATAATTGCTTTGCCCACACAGGTTCGCATTAATACATCCCTCACTTCCTTCCTTCGTGTAATGAGAATGGGTGTCTAAGCGGCCAATGGTTAAGCACCAGCGCTGTCCCCTTTAAATCAAACATCACATAAAAAGGGAAGCCACATATCTTCAAGGGGTATGACAAAGTCGTTTTAAGGAATTTAAAGATAACAGTCTGATATAAAAAGGTTTGCAGGTATTCCCAATATACTTGTGACATTTGTTGATACTGTTGAGCAACATTTAAAACAAGGCATTAGATACAAACGTATATAAGACAAAGCTGACAGCACATATATTTTTTTTGCATGACCTGACCATAAGAGGGTGAGAGTTCCTATGCTTATGGTACAGCAAAAGATGGGCTGCCTAATCCAATCCAGAGGAACAAAACCATATAAGAAAAACAATGGAGGAATGGTTCTTATTAAAAACACTTTACTGCCATAAAGTGCGAGGGGCCATAGATGCATGCTGATGGTTGTCACATTGTTTGTGTAAAGGTCTGAGATGGACACAATCCTCCAGTCTAAACATTTCAATGCATCTGATGGCATCTTCCATTTTACACCGCTGATTGACCTAATCATAATACAGCACTAACTGAGGGCATATACCAAAACCCTGAAACGCGTTGGCTGAAAATATGTCAATTGGAACATTTGTGAATAAGAACGATTTGTTAATTTTTTTCTTTATACGACTCTAGCCCTCTGTAGACTGCTTAGATTTTGCTGTACCATATTTATTTTTCAGTATACATATACTTTTTGGGACATCGTGTTTTGTGCAGCCTATAATATGTGATGCATTCTGGTTTGTGGCCAGATATTAATTTTTTCAAGAATTGCCATGCTGGCAGAATCTATAACACGATACACACATTTCTATGAACATCCACATTAGGGGGTCTCTGAACTAGCATTCAAACGGCCTTTCAGTTAGTAAATCACTGCTGAAAGCAAGGGGCAGAAGATGCTCTTCAATTTCATACATAAAAAGACTGAGCAACCGTAGAAATGGTCAACTAATGAGAGGCCAAGATGTTTGCCACTCAAACCAAACTTACACACTGCTCTGCAATCATCCATAATTTGTAATGATCTCTTTACACATATGGTATCCTTGGCTACACAAGGATTTTTCAGCTCTTAGAAAAATGGCAGAATATGAATGATTGGCTGGTTTAGACAAAGGCCAGAGTGTTTTCTTTTTTTTTAAACATCCCCTCAACGTTACTCCACAAATCCAATAATTTGTACAACTGTGACCTCCAGAAACAAAACTAAACCAGAAAATTGGATGTTAGTAGATGTTTCTTGTTTAGAAGGCAATGTAAATCAAAGCTTCACGGACAAGCTTTCAAACCTAATTGCATACACGAACACCCAGTTAGCATTACCGCAATTTAAATTTTCTGGCACATCGTGACCCAAGTTTAACATCTCCACAACACAATCCGAATGGTAGAACATGAAAATGACAGAAAACCAGGCAGAGTTCAGTCACCCACTGCAAGCAATAAGAACTCACCTTTCAATGATCACTCATCTCAAACCTGTATATTACCTATGCTATGCCTATTATCATTGTACTCTGTTTTCTATAGATTTTCTAAATAGTTATATGAAATCTGTAAAACACTGCATAGTATGTCTGCGCTACACAAACTAGAGAACTAAATCTTTGCCATGCTGTCCAACATTTATAAATAGTCAAAAATGAAATTGTCATTAAAAGATTAAGTACATATTATCTCTGCATAGTGTACAAATAAGCCATCTATAACTGTATTAGAATCTAGTACTCAGTAAAGAATTAGTTATCTCGAGTACAAACAAAAGTATCTCTTGTATAAATGGTCTGTTGTCTGCATTTCCACAGTAACCACCCAGATTCAATCATACACTGTCTACCCTAGATTTGACAGAAGAATTTGGTTGATATAGCAAACTCAAACAGGAGTTACAGGCAACAGAAGCTGAGCTAATGATGAAAAAATGTATAAGCAGAGGTTACCTGTTAAAATGATGAGCACATACCATGTTATAAGCACATGGAAATCACAACGTCTCCTAAAAAAGGAGCCTCAGCTTGCCTCCACCCCATCCCAGCCTCCCTACTTACTTCTCCTTTAGTATGGTAGGTAGCCTCACTAACCAAAAGGGAGAAATGGGAAGGCTACGGTCAATCTTCAGAGGGAAAGCCAAGCTTTAGGTAAAACTATAGCTACCAATTGAATTGAAATACACAAAAAAAAAAAAATCAAACTGTGCTTATTCATTTTGTGCTCACCCGGAATTGTCCAAGGTGATGACAGGTTCACACATCCTTAGGCTTATTCAGCATTTGCAATGACAGTTGCAACAAAACAAAAAAAAAATCAGATTTATGTATACTCAAGTCAAATGACCACTAGCTGAATTCTGATTAGATCACTATGATGACTGCATGTGGAATAAGATTATTGTTCTTGCACTAAAAGCCTCCATATCTTAGGCATTACAAATTAAATGAAGCAAATAAAAAATAAATGACCTTACCCATCAAGGTTATATAACTTTATAGCCATGTATACATAGGCTACATTCAGAGGCTGTGCAGCTGCTTGAGGGCCCTCTGGTTTCAGGGGTTCATTTACACCAAATACAAATGGGCAAGTGACATCCCTCCTGCTGTCACATAGAGCTTGGGCTATGCTTACATCTAGGTTAGTTAAGAAGCAGGAAGCAGTCTTCATGACACAAAACTGCATGGATTAACAAATCTCCTGCTGTGTCCTTTGTATACTGACAGTGGTGGGTGTGCCGCTGCCAGATAGTCATGGCACCTAACTGGCTGTCGTTTCTGTTCACCCAAAGATTTTCCATCGGATTCCGATTTTTTGATTGCAGAATGCTGGGTGGAAGGGTGTCAGATGATAGGGTGCCAACAGGGGCACCCACTGTGCAAATTTCAGCCAGTTCATCAAGAAGCCAGGCTGTTTGGTCTGGTCTACAAATGCAACATTGGACAGAGGAAAGCTCTCATGCTTGCTGCCAGATTGGTGCCGAGATATGTAGAATTCACTTCCAATGTTTTTTGTTATGCCTTTTAGGCAGAAAGTAAAAGGGGTGTGCTCTGCATAACCACAGTTAAATATTATGGGCTGCGAGAGAGTTCAGAGAGCATCCCAAAGGCAACATCTGTCTATCTATCTATACACAGTAAATAAGGGTTTTTACATGAGTATGGACATTAAAACGGGAAGGCTAGAAATGAATCATCACACAGGGGTCTTTTGCTGACTACATTCAGCACTGGTCACAGTATATGACAAACCTACAAATAAATGAATACTTTATTATCCTCAGTAAACCTAAAAACACTATGACAAAAGCCAAAGATCAAGTTCTCAGTGTCCAGGGACATACATCTGGACCTGTACGCAAGTATACACTTGGAGCAGCATTTACCAGCACACAGCCAGAGCCTGTCATCAACTTGTACACACCTGTAGCACACAGGTACAAAGAGCTGGTTTTTACTGCACATAGACTTTGTGAATGAGGCCTTACAAGACATTTGTTAGCTACAGAATTTGTCATCAACAAAACAGAAATAACTGCTTTCACAGACAGCTGCCTGAAGATAAGCATCAGATAATCTTGTGGCATACAATCAGTTTTGTATAAGATTCTGAGTGGGGCAGCACACTGTCACTTGTAGCTGGAAAAAAAAACAATACTCTACAGCCCTGGTGCCCACCCTGCGGCCCAAATGCAGCCTTTGGTTCTTGCTGTGAGGCCCATTGCAGACCCAGGCAGTCAGCAGTAGCAGTATTTACCTGTAAAGAGGCTCTAATGACATTGATCTAGCAGTCTCATGTAGCATCTCCTTAGTCTCCATCTCCTGTATTGAGTCATCAGTCTCTAACCACCCATGTTGCATGTCTGAAGTCTCCTCTATTATGCCTGAAGTCTCTGAACGTCTCCTCTAGTATGCCTGAAGTCTCTGAACGTCTCCTCTAGTATGCCTGAAGTCTCTGAACGTCTCCTCTAGAATGCCTGAAGTCTCTGAACGTCACCTCTAGTATGCCTGAAGTCTCTGAACGTCACCTGTAGTATACCTGAAGTCTCTGAACGTCTCCACTAGTATGCCCGAAGTCTCTGAACGTCTCCTCTAGTATGCCCGAAGTCTCTGAACGTCTCCTCTAGTATGCCCGAAGTCTCTGAACGTCTCCTCTAGTATGTCTAAAGTCTCTGAACGTCTCCTCTAGTATGCCGGAAGTCTCTGAACGTCTCCTCTAGTATGCCGGAAGTCTCTGAACGTCTCCTCTAGTATGCCGGAAGTCTCTGAACGTCTCCTCTAGTATGCCGGAAGTCTCTGAACGTCTCCTCTAGTATGCCGGAAGTCTCTGAACGTCTCCTCTAGTATGCCGGAAGTCTCTGAACGTCTCCTCTAGTATGCCGGAAGTCTCTGAACGTCTCCTCTAGTATGCCGGAAGTCTCTGAACGTCTCCTCTAGTATGCCGGAAGTCTCTGAACGTCTCCTCTAGTATGCCGGAAGTCTCTGAACGTCTCCTCTAGTATGCCGGAAGTCTCTGAACGTCTCCTCTAGTATGCCGGAAGTCTCTGAACGTCTCCTCTAGTATGCCGGAAGTCTCTGAACGTCTCCTCTAGTATGCCGGAAGTCTCTGAACGTCTCCTCTAGTATGCCGGAAGTCTCTGAACGTCTCCTCTAGTATGCCGGAAGTCTCTGAACGTCTCCTCTAGTATGCCGGAAGTCTCTGAACGTCTCCTCTAGTATGCCGGAAGTCTCTGAACGTCTCCTCTAGTATGCCGGAAGTCTCTGAACGTCTCCTCTAGTATGCCGGAAGTCTCTGAACGTCTCCTCTAGTATGCCGGAAGTCTCTGAACGTCTCCTCTAGTATGCCGGAAGTCTCTGAACGTCTCCTCTAGTATGCCGGAAGTCTCTGAACGTCTCCTCTAGTATGCCGGAAGTCTCTGAACGTCTCCTCTAGTATGCCGGAAGTCTCTGAACGTCTCCTCTAGTATGCCGGAAGTCTCTGAACGTCTCCTCTAGTATGCCGGAAGTCTCTGAACGTCTCCTCTAGTATGCCGGAAGTCTCTGAACGTCTCCTCTAGTATGCCGGAAGTCTCTGAACGTCTCCTCTAGTATGCCGGAAGTCTCTGAACGTCTCCTCTAGTATGCCGGAAGTCTCTGAACGTCTCCTCTAGTATGCCGGAAGTCTCTGAACGTCTCCTCTAGTATGCCGGAAGTCTCTGAACGTCTCCTCTAGTATGCCGGAAGTCTCTGAACGTCTCCTCTAGTATGCCGGAAGTCTCTGAACGTCTCCTCTAGTATGCCGGAAGTCTCTGAACGTCTCCTCTAGTATGCCGGAAGTCTCTGAACGTCTCCTCTAGTATGCCGGAAGTCTCTGAACGTCTCCTCTAGTATGCCTGAAGTCTCTGAACGTCTCCACTAGTATGCATGAAGTCTCTGAACGTCTCCACTAGTATGCCTGAAGTCTCTGAAGTCTCCTCTAGTGTGCCTGAAGTCTCTGGTGGTCTCCTCTAGTGTGCCTGAAGTCTCTGGTGGTCTCCTCTAGTGTGCCTGAAGTCTCTGGTGGTCTCCTCTAGTGTGCCTGAAGTCTCTGAACATCTCCTCTAGTGTGCCTGAAGTCTCTGAACGCCTCCTCTAGTATGCCTGAAGTCTCTGAGCGCCTCCTCTAGTATGCCTGAAGTCTCTGAACGTCTTTTCTAGTATGCCTGAAGTCTCTGGCCGTCCCCTCTAGTATGCCTGCAGTCTCTGGTGGTCTCCTCTAGTGTGTCTGAAGCCCCCATCATCTCTTCTAGTATGTTTGCAGTCTCTAAACATCTCTTACAATATATGTTTGCAGTCACTGATTGCCTCCTTCAGTATGTCTGAAGACTGTGAACGTCTGCAGTATCTGGTCATCTCCTCTAGTATGTGTAAAATCTCTGACAGTATTCTGTCATATATTGAATATCATGCCCCTACACCCTGTACTTGACATCTCCTGCTCTGCAGAGGGAACAGTGACAACACCTGTGCCAGTCTGGTAAAGGGGCAGCGAGCAGACCCTACCTGGGATGCCTGTGTCCAGCCAGAGCCCGTGGCTCCTCATCGTACAGAGGTGGCTGTGCACAGCCTGGCCACATTTCCCACTCACACAAGGAATGACGCTTGTTATGGCTACAATTGTACACAGGCCAGCCAGGCTGGACAACAACAATGACCCATGGCAGGCATCCCCGCCGTCCTCCTCCTCCCCCATGCAGGGCTGAGCCCCTCACCTTCTTGTGTTTCTCCTGGTAAGGCAGTGCCAGCCAGGGCATGTCCTTGAGGAAGAGCTGCCATTTCTTCTGGTCAGGGTCCGAGGAGATGAAGACGATCTCCAGGCGCTCTCGCGTCTTGCAGTAGAAGTCAGTGAGGCCAGGCAGCAGCTGCTGGCACGGAGCGCTCATCCCACAGCCGAATAGCAGCCCTATGAGAGTGACCCGGGAGCCAAGAGACTGCACGTCCACCTCCTCCCGTTCAGCCGTCACCAGCTTGTCCCCCAACAGTTCCAGCAGCAGCCCGGACTCGCCGCCGCTCCGCTTCTCCCCTTGCGGTCCCGACATGCTGCTCGGCCCTCCCTGCTATGGCTCCTGTGCTCGGGCTTCACAGACGTGCTCCCCGGCGGCCGGGAGGGGATGAGCCGCGTGCGCCACACGAGCTGCGCCGGAGTACAGGCTGCACTCAGCCGATTGGCTACGGCCGTCAGAGCCGGCTGCACATGGGCACAGGGAGAGAGGGGTGGAGACAATGTGTGAGAGAGTGCCACCTGGGTGCCATGGGGGGAATGCTCTGTGAGAGAAATGGCCATGGGGGAGACCACTGAGGGAAATTGCCATGGTAGGGAGCACTGAGGGCAATGGCCATAGAGAGAGCTGTGAGGTAAATGGTCATGAGGGATAGCTCTGAGGGAGATGGCTGTGGGAAATGGCTATGGGGACAGTTGTGTGGTTTAGTCATGGGGAGACCTCTGAGAGAAATGGCCATAGAGAGAGCTGTGAGGGAAATTGTCATGCGGCAAAGCTCTGAGGTAATTGGCCATAGGAGACATCTATGAGGGAAATTGCCATAAAGGAGAGCAATTAGGAAAATTACTTTGGGGGATATTTCTGAGTGAATTGATAATGGTGGGAGAATGGTCTCTGGGGGTAATAGCCACGGGGGGAGAGCTCTGAGAGAAATAGCCATGGGAAAGAATTGTGACGGGAATGACCACAGGGAGAGCTGTGAGGGAAATGGCCATGGGGGACAGCTCTGAGGAAAAGGGTCATCGGGAGAGCTCTAAGGGAACTAGCCATGGAGGAGAGCTCTAAAGGAAATGGCCATGAAGGAGAGCTCTACGAAAAATGACCGTGGGTGAGATCTCTGAGGGAAATTACTATTGGGGGTATGGTGGGAGAATGGTCTCTGGGGGTAATAGCCACGGGGGGAGAGCTCTGAGAGAAATAGCCATGGGAAAGAATTGTGACGGGAATGACCACAGGGAGAGCTGTGAGGGAAATGGCCATGGGGGACAGCTCTGAGGAAAAGGGTCATCGGGAGAGCTCTAAGGGAACTAGCCATGGAGGAGAGCTCTAAAGGAAATGGCCATGAAGGAGATCTCGGAGGAAAATTACCATGGGGAAAATGACTATGGGGTGGGGGGAGCTCTGCGGGTAATGACCACGGGGAGAGCTGTGAGG